AAAAAAAAAAAAAAAAGAATGTGGAGAAAAGGGAACCAATGTGTACTGTTTGTTGGTGAGAATATAAATTGGTGCAACTACTGTGGAAAACAGTATGGAGATTCCTCAAAAAATTAAAAACAGAAATACCATATGACCCAGTAATTCCACTGGTGGATATTTACCCAAAGAAAACAAAAACACTAATTCAAAAAAATACATGCACCCCTATTTTTATTTCAGTATTTACAATAGCCAAGATACGAAGATAACCCAAGTGTCTACTGACAGATGGGTAAGATGTGATGTATACACACATACACAAATATTAGTCATCAAAAAGAATGGATTCTTGCCATTTATGACAACAGGGATAGACCTAGAGGGTATTACGCTAAGTGAAATACATCAGAGAAAGACAATACGATTTCATTTATACATGGAATCTAAAAAACCAAACTGAACAGACCAAAAAAAAAACAAAACAAAAAAAACCAGACTCTTAAACACAGAGAACTGGTGGTTGCCAGAAGGGAGCAAAATAGGTGAAGGGGATTAAGATGTACAAACATCCAGTTATAAAGTAAATAAGTCACAGAGATAAAAAATACAACATGAACATAGTCAATAATACTGTAATAACAGTGTATGGTAACTACACTTATCGTGATGAGCATAAAATAATGTATAGAATTGCTGAATCACCATGCTGTACACCTGAAACTAATATAACAAGGTTTGTCAAATATATTTCAATAATTAAAAAAAAAAAAAAATGCAGGCATTGGGTGAAAGAAACCCAGTCACCCAGTTTTCACATAAGGCCACAAAACAGAGAAGTCCTGTTACACATCATTTCATCTCCCGGGCTCCAGCAATTCCAGCAACAAAAACCCGTAAGTTAGTGTTAAACAACAGGTATTTTTCACAAAGAAATGTTACTCACATCCATAACAAATCACACCCCCAGAGCATCCCCAGAAATAAATTCTAAAATAATCACCCAAAGACACTGAGTGCCTACCTCTGTTTCCTTTTCTTCAATAATATTTACAAGTCCTAAGAAAATATTTTGTAGTTTGATCAAAAATGGTTCTGGATAAATTGCCCAATCCTCCCATGCTCTGAAGCAGGTCATTACCCGTTGCTAAATAAATAGGAAAAAGACAACAAATTATTATTTAGGGCAATACGTCTCAAACTTGATCTCATGAGAATGGCCATCACAATTTGCTGAATTTTCCTTTAAACCAACATCCTTGACAGAAAATAACTATCAGTATATTTTTAAAAAATCAATGTCACCTTCTAACTAAAAGGGGACAAAATTAGAAATAAATATAATGAAAAAGAAACAGTAACTGTTTTGCTCTTGACCACCTAAGATCAATGTCCCATAGCACTAGTGGTACACATGAGGCTACATTCTGGGAATAATAGCTTAGAAATTTATGAAAATTGGTATTAAGGTAGTTTCGAACCAAATTCCTTTATGGTCCAATAAAGTACTTTTCTGATTCTGGCTAATACTTTTTCTCTGTCCCATTCCTAAAAACTTTTCTATAAAAGTTTGATTTATGGTCAAAATTTAAGGTCAAAAAATTTTTAAATGGAGTTTTTTAAATTCCCAGGCTAAAAATTTCTTTAATAGAAGTCTTCCTCCCATGAAAGTAGTATCTATTTATTCCATTACATGCAAGGTATTTTGTTTGGCTTTTCTTAACACTGGTCCACAGCTAAGAGGTTATAAAAAGTAACTGAATATATCTTCTAAACATGAATAACTAAAATTATGTTCCTACTCCAGCCAAATTATATATATCATTCTGAAACAAGTGATGTTCTGAATGTTTTTTGTGAAAAAACAAATAGAACATTTAAATAAAACACTTCGAACTAAAACAAATACCCAACAAAGTAACACTACATATTTCAAACTTGCAGGCATTTTTGATACTGAAGATAAAATGGCAGTAAATGTTAAAGCAATAATTTCTGAAAGATGCATGTTATGTCTTATAATTGTCCTATGTACTTTTCTAAGCGCTCCAATGTGCTTGCCAGCCCCTACCCTCTGTTTCACATTAGGGAAAAAATAAAACAATAAACATACCTTGAAGTTTTCAGACTGTAAATGGCCTTGAATTGTACGATACGTAGCATTGAGGTCTGAAAATATCTGACATAACTTTGTTTCAAAACTGAAATTCAAATAATACATATTTACAATACAATTTATTTTAAAACCCCTATCTACTTCAGCATGCTAGCCAATGAAAACCTCTCTTGAACGTGAAAAAAAAAAAACATAAATAATCAAGTAATTCTTTAAAAATCAAGAACTAGGTATCTAAACTCTTAAAACTATAACTGAACGCCTTATTCTGAGTTATCCTCCTGCGAAGAATTAGTTCTCTTCATTAACAAGAAACTTTACATTTAGGATACCTTATGCTACCTAAACTAACCTCTTTGTTTTATAATAGGAAAACTGACTTATCCAAGGTAAAAAAAAAACAACAAAAAACCCTAATAACAGAGCTAAGATTAGGACCCACATCTCCAAATTTCATTTCGGAGTCAGCTCCTAGAGAAAAGTTTCCCTGATTCATAAAATAAACACCAAAAACGAACTCTAAAGAAGAATTACATATTAATTAGAATAGAGCAACATAGGGGCGCCTGGGTGGCTCAGTCGTTAAGCATCTGCCTTCGGCTCAGGTCATGATCCCAGCGTCCTGGGATCAAGCCCCGCATCGGGCTCCCTGCTCCGCGGGGAGCCTGCTTCTCCCCCTCCCACTGCCCCCGCTTGTGTTCCCTCTCTCGCTATGTCTCTCTCTGTCAAATAAATAAATAAAATCTTTAAAAAAAAAAAAAAAAGAATAGAGCAACATAATTTCCTACTGCCTAGGAAAACAACCCAGTGAACTACACCAATACAATGATGATCAAAACAGTTAATGTTCTGTCTTTGGTCTCATACTCTATGCTTGCCATTAGTTCTATTGTTTTTTATTTACTACGCAAGTGGCTAAATATGCAATAAAAATAAAGTTATTTTTTTAACTCTTAGTTGTTCTAGTATAATTTACCAAGAAACTGATAAGAAAACTTTCTAAACATTTAAAGTGGTTTAATGAATGCAACCCAATTTTTTAGAAAATTCTATAAACTACGAAGAAATACAAATTATTTATTACTGAGACTATGAATTAAACAAAACAATCCTCTTTTCTGAATTCCTTACCCTTAATGTTTTATTTCAGGAATATCAGCTTACACCATTATACTTACAATTTTCTATAATATGAAGCATTGGCAACTTTGGCTGAAGAGTTATACAAAACATCAGAAACCAAATATAATCTGGCAATCTAGAATACCAAAAGATAACATAAAAGAGATTAAAAATAAAAACCAGCAGCAAATAATGTATCTAGAAAAAATTCCATATTGAAATGTTTTGCAATCAGTAGCATACAGCTAATGTTTGGCTACAATAATAACAGCTAATTAGAAGAGTTATAAGAAATTCAACATTACCAAAGCCACTACTTTGGCAGGGATAAAATATATAACTCATTTACATTTCAACCTGTTGATAACCTGTGTACTGATTAACATAACAAGTTTCCCAAGACAGGAGGAAAATAAGACTGCATGGGAAAGATCTCTTCAGTCAAGTTCTTCCAAACAAAAAAAAAAAAACACCAATGTTCCATAAAGAGAAATCATTCCCATACCTTTTTGGGGAGGGGTGTCTTTAAGATGGACAATGACTCAGTAATGCAATCCACTATTTCTTCAGCAGCTTCAGCATTATTAAGACAGAAAACCATTGCATCTCCAATATCATTCTTCCTTGGAGTTAACCCCCGCAGGATTTCTTCTAATTTGTCCCTCTGTCTGAATACAAAAGTTTTTAACTTATAAATATTTATAGATATAAATTTCAAATGCCATTACAGTTTCTGCTCACAAACTAATTTCTTTAAAACCTATTCGGATAAAATTGTGAAGACTAAATTGTGTTAAGTCTGATTTAAGCCCCCCAAATATATTACATTTCTTTGAAGAGCTTACATGGGAGAAGAATATTTTCTCGTGAATAAAGGATTCCAGTGATTTTTAGTTTACAAATAAAGTAAATTTTAAATTATGGGCATTTTTTTAAGTGTCTGAGAATGTCCCCGGTACTATTATCCCATTATAGTGAAAAATAAAAAGACTTCATGTTTCTCTCTCTCTTTTGAAGAAGTCAGTTACTTTAGCACTTCTGCATCAGATTAGAAACAGGCTAAAGCAGGTGGTGGCACTCTGTAAAGAATCAGAGTAACTACTTTAGGCTTTGCAGGTCATACAGTCTCTCTCGTAGTTACCTGACTTCACTGCTATTAACACCAAAGCAGCCACAGACAACATAGAAAAGGGGAGGGGAAGCATGACTGTGTTCCAATAAAACTTTGTTTATAAAAAACAGGTGACAGCCAGATTTAGCCTTTAGGCTGAGTTTGCAGACCTGGGCAAAAGTAAGATGAAAATACATCTGCAGAAGCAAATATGCTTCAAATATATATAGCTCTCCATTAGCAAATGCTCTCACAAACAATGCATCAATGCAACTAGTATAAAGATTTAGACTATGCAATGGAGTACGTAATCCTATATGCCATAATCTTTTAGCCAATTTTTCCCCATGAGGTATACAGAACTTACTCTTAGTATTTAATAGTTACGTTTCTTTCTTTTTTTTTTTTTTTTT